TCTATCTATCTATCTATCTGTCTATCTATCTATCTATCTATCTATCTATCTATCTATCTATCTATCTATCTATCTATCTATCTATCTATCTATCTATCTATCTATCTATCTATCCATCCCTCCATCCATCCATCCATCCATCCATCCATCCATCCATCCATCCATCCATCCATCCATCCATCCATCCATCCATCCATCCATCTCTCTCTCTCCATCCATCCATCCATCCATCCATCCATCCATCCATCCATCCATCCATCCATCCATCCATCCATCCATCTCTTCATCCATCCATCTCCATCCATCCATCCATCCATCCATCCATCCATCCATCCATCCATCCATCCATCCATCCATCCATCCATCCATTTGGTAGCTCATCTGGCTACCAAGGCCACTCTGGACGGTTGGCAATATAATGGATCTGTTGAATACCCGAATACAGTGGTTCTCCACCTTGGGTCCTCCAGATGCTGTTGGAAGCAAACTCCCAGAAGCCTCAACCACCAGCTGGGCTGGCCAGGATTTCTGGGAGTTGTAGTCCAAGAACCTCTTGGGTACCCAAGTTTGGAAACCACCACTTTAAGTAGCAAAGTTGACCCAAGAGGGTTTCCCACTCAAGACGCAAAGAGTTCTTATTTCTGCCGTCTCCTTCCATACTGACTTGGCAGAAGAGATGCCAGGATCGTGAAGGTGGTTTCCCCAGGGTGACACTCATCCATATTTATTTATTTGAAATATTTTCCCCTCACCTTTCTCCGTAAAAGGACCCGGGGCAGCTCATCCATGCTACTCTGGTCACTTACAAGATGGGGAAGGAGCTTCAAAACTCATGTAGTTTGAAATCCTTCACACAAGTATATAAACGCGCACAAATGCACATGCTTTTTCTCCTCCGCAGAAGGGAGCAGGGGTGAAATAGCCTCGGTATGAATGAATGACCTTTGAACTTAGCCAAAGCATAACAGGGGACACGATTCTGGATTCTGAAAAACCTCCTGCATGTTAGCTGTAAAGAGGCTCTCCCGTTGGCTCATTCCCTCACCCCCTGCAGTGTCTCATGGAAAACCTAATTTTCATTTTAAAGAACCTTTTCTTGCTTTTTTTTAAATAGCTCAGCTGCTTTCTCCTCCTTTCCTTTCTTTCCCCCTTTTCTGGAGGTTGCACGTTGAATGCTAAGTGGATTTTCTTTTGAACTGGCAAGATCGAGGGTTGCATTGAATGCCCCCTTTTCCTTTTTTTCTTCAATCTGAGGCTTAGTGTAAAATTATGCCATTGGACACGGGCAGCGCCAGATTGGGTAGAGAGGAGGAAAAGGTTTATTTATGGTCGGAAAGAAGCCTAGATCTCTCTAACCAGAACCGGCCCTTGCTTTCTCTCTACCTGAGCCATTTACCTGGAGACCTCACAAGCAGAGATACAAACTTAATACCTGTTGTGCAGGTACTGTACTTTTTTCCCCCTGTCTAACACAGGGAGTTATACTGATTTTAAAATGGGAGTTCTAGGATGTTATTGCTGAAAGATTTAATTTTTCCTCATCCTGCGAGGGACTGAAAGACACAGAAGAGAAGTTTGATTTCTAATTAACAATGGTGTGCCGTCAAATCCATTCTGATGTAACGGCAACCCTTTTCAGGATTTTTCAAGGTAGAAAATACACAGAAATAGTTTTTCATTCCCTTCCTTCCGAGGGTGCCCTGGGACTGTGCAGCTGGCCCAAGGCCACCCAGGCTGGTTTTTCTCCCAGGAGGCCAAGGGGGGAATCGAACCTCCAACCTCTGGCTCCATAGCCAGAGACCTAAACTACTCAACTGTTATTCAGAAATGGTTTCCCATTCCCTTCCTCCCGAGGGCATCCTGGGATTGTGCAGCTGGCCCAAGGCTACCCAGGCTGGCTCTTCTCCCAGTGGGGGAATCGAACTCCCAGCCTCTGCAGCCAGAGACCTAAACCCCTGAGCTATTTTAACCAGCTTCCCAACTCGTTAACTAGTGATAGTTCGAATCCCCCCCCCCCCGGGGCCTCCTTGACAGGGGCTGAACTCTATAATCCATAGGAACCCTTCCGGTTCTGCCATTCTAAGATGATGATAAGGATGATGTTGTTTTCTACAGCTACAGTTATTTTCTATTTTCTATAATGATAACAATAATAACAACAACGACCACATTGCTTGCCCTGTCTGTGGATGAGATTGTTTGCAGCTCAAGTTGTTTCTCCAAACTTTCTCCTTGGCCTGAGCTTGTGTTGACACACAGCCCGCCTCTTCGGCCTTTTCCTTTGGGTCCCGAGTTCAAGTCCCGTTGTGGCCTTGAATTTCTCCCGAGGGCCAGTGAATTCGGATAAAAGGCAGGGAGCGGCTTGTGTCCTCAGATCTCCACAGAAAGCAATTTATGATCTCAGCCTCTCTCTTCCTTTCTGAGCCCAAGACATAATCTTAAACTGACCTCTGCTTGCTATCTGCCCGGCAGCCTCTCCTGACCAGGAACAGCCCCAAAAAATGCAGCTAGGGCTGTTTAGCTGGAGCCCAACACCCTGGGTTTTTTATCTAATTTGAGTTGTTTTGCTTCCAAATACCGATAACCCAATGGGGCCATTAACGAAAGATGCACGGCTAACTCGGAGGATGCGTTTAATCACTGCAATGTTGCCTTTCATAACAATTTTAATTAAGATGTTCATTTTTGGTTCGGCGCTGACCCAGAAATTCCAGCTGTATTACATTTCTGGAAGGGGCCTTGGGCGGGTTCAGATTAAGAGGAAATTGCTCTACATAAATCGACGTCCCTTCTCTGCCCCCCGGGTCAGCGTAGATGAGGTAAGCGAAAGGACCAGCCTGCAGCATCTTCTCTGAACTCTTCCGTGATTTTTTTTCAGAAACGCCACAGGGCCAAAGGAGGAAATGTGTAGCTGTTCAGGGGGGAGGCAAGGAGTGGGATTTTAAAAAAACTATCCCAAAATTGCATCCAAATTACCCAGTCGAAGGGATATCTGTGTTTCGTATAGAAGGAAGTACAGCTGATTCGTGCAGATTTTCTCAAAGGGGTTCACGGAGCCCTTGGTGTAAAGCAGAAAGTTGGGGTCCAAGCTGTAGCCCACAAAGATGAGAAGGTCAGCCCCCTTGCTACTCATTCAAGTGACCTTAATTTCCTCCCCATGTAAACACAAGAATGGGTCTTTACTCTTTGATTCGGGAAGAGAGAGAGAGAGAGAGAGAGAGAGAGACTGCTTTTAAGCTGGTTAAACAATAAGACATTCTAAAATGCATATTGTTTGGAGTGGACAAATAGTAATTTTGTAACTCTGGATAGTACCCTATTGCAGATTGGTTGTTGGTAATGCTGACATTATCAAAGGCTGTCTTTCGATCCAGCTCCTCCTGATGATATGCAATGTGCTGTACAAGGAGTGGAATCGCTAGTAAGATTGGAGCTGCAATGTTTATCTGGGGTAGAAATTAAGGTACAAAACGGAGTGCCCATATTTTGACGAGGAAGGGGCAGTTTTAACCCCTCTGGGCTGTTACCTTCTTAAATGTTGCTGCCTTGTTCGGGGCACATCCTGAGAAGGCAGGATTCTCTGGCAAAGGCAGTCAGGCTGGGAAAGGGTGGAAAGGCAACAGGAAAAGAGGAAGGCGCAAGGTGAGATGGACTGACTCCCTAACAGAAGCCACAGGCTTGAGTCGACAAGAGCTGAGCCGGGCTGTCGAAAACAGGACATTTTGGAGATTGCTCATTCATGGGGTCGCCGTAAGTCAAGGGCAACTGGACGGCGCATCACAACAGTCGCAAGAGTTTCCCACCTTTATTTTACTAATGGACTAGATTCTAATAGACTTGAAATCCACCTATGTCCCCCCCCCTTGTTGTGCTCCCCCAGGATTTGAAAGGGCTCTTGGCGCTTGGCGGTTGTTGGGTTTTCCTCTCAACAGAAGGCTAGCATCTTGGAATATTTTGGTCCGCTGCTTCCCGAAATAGGCTTGTCGTGCTGCCGTTCAAGGATGTCCTCTTGGCTTCGGATGCGATGCTCGGCAAGGCACCATTGACAATGGCTCCTGAGCTCCGTTTGGAAGCCGGCCAGTGGGACTTAAGAGGGATTTGGGTCTGTTTCGTCTCCTTATGAAAGCACGCCTGTCTATTAAGAGCGTTAACCCGAGGCCGAGGTTCTCAAACGGAGGAGAAAAGGGATGGCCGGCTTCCAGGCACTCCTTTAACCTCTCAGCGCCTTTGATGTTTTCTCTCATAGGAATCAATCCTCCCTTTTATTTTATTTTGTTTTAATTTAGTACTTTTAGACCCCTTGATGAACGGAGCGTTTTGGACAGTGTATGATACTTATTAATAAAATAACAACTGTGTGTTGTTAAGTCGATCCTGACCCTTTTCAGGGTTTTCCAGGTAGAGAGTACTCAAGAAGTGGTTTATCATCCCCTTTTTCTGGGGGGCATTTCTGGGACTGCGCAGCTGGCCCAAGGCTACCCAGGCTGGCTCTTCTCTCCCAGGAGGCGCCGTGGGGAATCGAACTCCCAACCTCTAGCTCCCCAACCAGAGACCTACCTCAACTGAGGTAGCCAGCCAGCGGCGATGCGTACGACATAATTTCCGTTCTGCGCTGCCCAGAGATCTGTGGGATGTAAATTCATTCATTCTGTTTGGTTGCGGAATCCTGCGGAATCCTCACTGCAGAATTCAGGCTGCAGAATTCTGATTCTTCCGCAGGACCCTATCCCCGGCTCGCGGAAAACTCCCAGTCAAGCCTCCTCTGTGTGCAAATAAACCTGCCCTTAGTTCTCCTCGGTGCCCCTGCGGGGCGTGACGTGCCATGCCATGCCCCTAAAGCCACCTGCTTCGTTGCGAAGTGGGCCGGTAGGGCGCCGTTTTCCCAGGCGTCGTTAAGTGGCTTAACCTCCCGACCCTTCACCGGCTGTCGTCGTGCATTAGAGACAGTCTAAAACGGGAATGTGTGTAGAACAGGGGAGGAATTTTCTTTTCTGACGTCCTCCGTGGAATCCGGCTTTGTAGGGTGGCGGGTCTAGCCATGTGTAAATACAGGAAACGTCCAACTCGGAAACTCTTCTGTGTCGCTGGATAGGACGTTAGAGAAGGGTTAAGACAACGGGAGGATTTTCGGCAGTTGGATGTTGGTCTTGACCCCTCTGGACGATTAGACAAAAAGGGGGGGCATTCGGGCCGTGGGAGGGGGACACGGGAGCATCCCCCGAGGTCTTGCCGTCAGCGTTATGGGCATCGGGAGCTGTTTCAACCGGACCTCTGACCCAACGTTCACCATTGTGTGGGTATCTTAACGCCGTAGCGCTGGGAAAAAAATTTCTTGAGAAAAAAAAGGGGAGTCATTCTTGGCTTTTGATGCCACCTGTAGTTTGCTTCCTATAAATTAAAATAGGTAACAAGGCTTGGTTTTAATGGGTTGATTGGAACCTTTCAACGGGAGCCCTTCCCATAATGTCTGTTTTCCGTTAGAAGGCCCTCTTAGAAGCCGAGAACTGGTGGGAAAACATAGAAAGAGCTGAGTTTTCCCTTAATAGAATACGCTTTATTCCAGGTCAGTTTTTTTAAAAAATATCCCTAATATTGTCTACTTTGATATCCATTTGCTCGCATCTCAGGGAGAGAGGGCTTTTCCTTAACTAGTCATGTCGTTAAAATGGCCACAGAAAGAACCTAGCAAGGAACTGAGAGTTGTTTGTATAAGAGAGAACTATTTCATCGCGTTTTGTAGATCTGTGCGTAGATGGCTATTTGGCCGCTTGGTTTTAAATGCTCGCCTTCCTGTAATTTTATTATGTAGTTCTTCACTCAACTGGTAAGCAAGCTTTCCGGGTAGGCTTTGTATCATTCTGGGCTAGAGATAGACCGCTCGGATCGATAGATGGTAAATAATTCTCATCGTTCCCTCCTGCCCTTCAATATGACTGTAGCTCTCGGGTGATTTGCGTCATCTTAGTCCCACGACAAAAAAACAAAACAAAAAAACACAGGCTGTAAAAAAAGTGATTTTTTTTTTGAACAATGCTGACGACAGGAAACATTTGAAATCAATTTTCGACAGAGCAGGGCACAATGAGGGCGAAAAAGAAAGCTTTCAACAGTCTGGGAATTATATTGTTTTAAAGGTCTCTCTCTCTCAAGTGATGTCTGGAATAGGCGCCAGGCAAATTTCTCCCCGGGGAGAGCCTTTTAAGAATGTGGCACAAGTGAGCTTCAAATGATAATAATAATCATAATCTCTCGTTTTTCCTTGCATTTGAAAATGTCAAGACCAATTGTCCTGGCTTCTTTTTACAGGAAGAAGTTACTGTGATTTTTATTCAAATATCTTTCTTCTAAAAAAGCAAGTGGGGGGGAAGACAGCCGTGGCCTTTGGGGGCTATTTCTGCCACCCCCCTCTGGAGTCCCCATTTGTCCATTATGTTTTTTTAATTTCCAAAACAAGAAAAAACGTGTACCTCTAGAAATCTCCAGAGTCCTAATTTTCTTCTGAAACAAACTGACCCATACCTTGTTTTAATCATCCCCATCACATGCCTTCAGCTTAATTTAATTCTGTTTGTTCATTAATTTTATAACTGCCTCATTTCATCTTGTTCCTGGGGTACTTTTGGATTTTATCGCTGGGTTCACTGCCTAGAATAGCGCTGTGCACGAACGGGTTGGTCTATAAATGAGATTGTTGTTGTTTAGTCTTTAAGTCGTGTCCAACTCTTTGTGACCCCATGGACCAGAGCACGCCAGGCCCTCCTATCTTCTACTGCCTCCCGGAGTTGTGTCAATTTCATGTTGGTTGCTTCGCAGACACTGTCCAGCCATCTCATCCTCGGTCGTCCCCTTCTCCTCTTGCCGTCGCACTTTCCCAACATCAGGGTCTTTTCCAGGGAGTTTTCTCTTCTCATGAGATGGCCCAAGTACTGAAGCCTCAGCTTCAGGATCTGTCCTTCCAGTGAGCACTCAGGGTTGATTTCCTTCAGAATGGATAGGTTTGATCTCTTTGCAGTCCAGGGGACTCTCAAGATAAATGAGATAGACAGACAGATAAGTCAAGTCAATTCCTCCTAACATTGACTCTTTTCAGGTAGGATCAGAACTTTGAAAAGGTGGGGAGATGAGACGTTGAAAACAATGGTGGGAGGAGGGTCTGGTGCAACCGGCAGACTGTGGGGAGAAGTGGGAGACGGTGTTGGGCCATCCAGGGTCGCAATTGTGTCCCTCTGTCGAATTCTGGGAGATTTTGGGAAGGTGGGCGTCCCTGCATTGATGTCAAAACTTTTTCAAGCTCTGTTATGAGCCTGAAATGCCATTTCAATGTATTGGGGCCCAAAAAGGAGCTTTCTGGCCAGTTTGGTTGGGGAAGACGTTTGTTGTTGTTGTTGTTTTGTGGGATTCGGCAGCCGACGGTCCCGCCAAGCTTCGGTCGCGGGTTTCCAGTGGAATAAGCAAGTGGATAAACGGTGTGATCTTTTTCTTCTCCTTCTCCTTCCCTCCTGCAGAGTCACCGTGAGTCCCCGGCAGAATTTGCCCCGCGTCACGCTCAAGGGCATTTTCCAGGGCGCCAAAGTGGTCCGGGGCCCCGACTGGGAATGGGGAAACCAGGACGGTGAGGTTTCCTTGTTAAAACATGACGGTTGGGCTGTAACGGGGAGGGGAGGACTTGGTTTGACAAATCTTTTCTGAAGGGCAGACGGAGATCCGGGCTGACACAGATCCTTGACGTCGGACAGCGGCGATTTTTCAGAAATAACCAAATTCAGATTCTTGTCCACATCCCGTAGAATCCCTTTCATTATGAGGGTGCTGGTGGAGGCCTCAGGAGGGAGGGAGGCGTCTTTAATGACCTCAAGTCACGGATGCCATATACTTTTCTTCACCTCTGTGCCGTGGCGCTCCTCTTTCCAACATGGCTGCCAAACCTCTGCGGCGGAGGTCTAGAGGTAGACTTTGTCTAGAGGGGCGGGGAATAAATCTAAATAAAGTAAAGTAAGAGAGGCATTTTCAGCCTGAGTTTTCAGTAAACCGGACTCTTGCTTTCTCTCAGGCGGCGAAGGTAAAACTGGGCGTGTGGTTGACATTCGCGGCTGGGACGTGGAGACCGGGCGGAGCGTGGCCAGTGTGACGTGGGCCGACGGCACCACGAACGTGTACCGCGTCGGGCACAAGGGAAAAGTTGACCTCAAGTGCATTGTGGAAGCCTCGGGAGGATTTTACTACAAGGAGCATCTCCCTAAATTAGGTACATGCCGAATTTCTCTTACTAGTGGGCTGTGTACTACATAAATAATCATCACATACCATCAAACCCATTCAGGGTTTTCCAGATAGAGAACACTCAGAAAATGGTTTTTCCCCTTCCCTTCCTCCAGGGGGTGCCCTGGGACGGTGCAGCTGGCCCAAGGCTACCCAGGCTGGCTCTTCTCCCTGGAGGAGAATCAAACTCCCAACCTCTGGCTTTACAGCCAGAGACCTAGACCACAAAGCTATCCAGCCAGCTTGTGTCCTATATAAGTCCTACTTCAATTGACTTCACGGCTGGTCTTTCATCGCAAACCACAGAGTGTGCTGGCCTTCATCGACAGTTAAATTGATGTGGCAGAGTTTTCTTGAGCTTTCGTTTTATGCTCAAACATTTTTCATGGACATCCTTCTGAAAGCAAATTTATGCCGGTCCTCTTTTGAGTCTTACCGTGAGGTCCGATCCACTCAGAGTCTCACCAGCCAGTTTTGAGTGGAATCAAGGGAAAACAGGCCCGTTTGTATGACGGAAATAGCACAAGGTTCCCCAAGAGTGAGAATGAATCTTGGACACAGACAAATAAAATGTGAGGCAAGAGTAAGCTTACTACAAACTTCCTTCAGTTAAAGTGGCTTCTGGGCTTCTCCCAGGGGGAAAGTTCTTAGAAACCTGAACACTTGCTATATATACAATATAGATGGGTTTTTCTGGGCTACACATCCCATAATTCTCCATTCTGGGAGTTTTTCCTACCCTACATGTGCCTTACAAACACCTAAATGTGGCTCAAGACTTAATGGAAGGCTTTGAGACTTAGCTAGGCCTAGCTTTGCCCAAGCTGGGGGAAAAAATTCCCAGCTAGCCCTGGGGCAGAAATAGGAAGCTTGGGTGGAACTAGGCCTAGCTAGGCCTCAAAGTCTTCCTGTTTAGGCCCTGTCTCCCAGGCGAGCCACATTTAGGTGTCTATCAAGTAGCTAGAATTCCCAGAATGGAGAATAATAGTATATGTAATCCAGGAAATCCAAAAATCCCATCCTTAATAGACAAATCGACATCTTCTGGTTGTGAGACAAAGTTCAGGAGAGTTACCTACCTGTGGATTTTAGGTTCCTCTCTGACACCTCTAGAAGCACCCCCAAAGTTAGGGGAAACGGACAAGAGGAGAGTTACACTCCTTTTCTTAGTGGCTTAATAGCTAGAGGAAGAAAGAGATGCTCAATATCCTGCCTAGAAGCATGAAAGCTATCTTACCTGTTGGATGCAGTAAGAAAAAGTTCACCACAACTCAGCAGTCTGTGGCAGGATGCCGTGAATAAGTTCATAGACCGGTCTTGTTGTCAGAAGATCTTCTGCATATATCCACCAGCCCACCTGCCTGTCTTTTCTCTCCCCTCTCTAGGGAAGCCTGCTGAGCTTCAGAAAAAGGAGAGTACGGACCGTCATCCTTTCCAACACGGGGACAAGGTGAAATGCTTGCTGGACATAGACATCCTAAGGGAGATGCAGGAAGGACATGGGGGTTGGAACCCCAAAATGGCCGAGGTAAGAACCGGTTCCCTGTTTCTCGCCCCAGGCTTTGAAGAGAATTCACACCCATTATTATGAGGCACTTTGGATCTTAGAGAAAGATAGGGTATGTCAAATACATGATGATCATGTGTCTACTGCTTTTGAATGATAATCTTTTAACTTTTTGCCTACTCCCCCATCCCACCCCCCATTTTATTCCCATCAATTCTGATCTCTTCCTCCTCTCCTGCACACCCTCAAAAGTTCATTGGCCAAACTGGAACCGTACATAGGATCACGGATAGAGGCGATGTGAGAGTCCAGTTCAACAGTGATACGCGGTGGACATTTCACCCTGGTGCTCTTACCAAGGTGAGAGGCACTTTGTCTGTACCATCAACGGAACACAAAACTTGTTATAACTCAAGGGGAAGTGGGAAAGAACCAGGAGAAAAAGATGCATCGTGCATAGGATGAGGTTTTCTTCAGTTTTGTCCTGATTTAGTTTTGGTTTGCCTCTTCGGCACTTTTCTCACCAATTGAATGGGAATCTTTTAGAAAATTAGAATCAGAGTGGACTTTCCTCTCTCTCTCTATCTCTCTCTCTTTCCCCCCTTTTTTTTGGGGGGGGTGATGTGTTTTAATAAGAAGGGGCAAGTAAAATTTTGGCTTTCCTCTTGCATGTGTATATTTCAGCGGGTGTCCCAAGGTCTGGCAATCTGCGCCTGAATGTTGGTGATTACTCCAAACAAACCTGATAAATGTACGAAATGAAAGAGCCACTCCAGTAAAATGCCGTCAGTCCTTTAAAAATTATGGTCCGTCTTTGCAGACTTTTGTCTCAGAAGCAGATCTCCATGTACGTTACATGAGAGCAGAAATGGTTTTAAAGCCACCCTCTTTTTTAAGTAGCTAAAAAAATGGCATTGCCATTTGCATTGAATGCTGACATTTTGTCAACATTTTGGACATTCACAGTATTAAAAAAAAAAACATACTATTTTGAGTGAGTGAGTGGGGGGGGAGAGAATTTATTTTCTGTAATTTGTTCCCACATTTCCAGTAGAGGGGCTCAAGGCAGCTTAAAAATGATTTAAGAACATAAATACTAAAGCAGTGATTTAGCCCTTTTTTACTTGATTAGCTAAAAGTAAAGGTTCCCCTTGACATTTAGTCCAGTCGTATCTGACTTGAGGGTGTAGTGCTCATCCCCGTCTCCAAACCGTAGAGCCAGCGTTTGTCCGTAGACAGTTTCCGTGATCACGTGGCCAGCGCGACTAGACACGGAATGCTGTGACCTTCCCACTGAGGTGGTCCCTATTTATCTACTTGCATTTACATGCTTTCGAACGGCTAGGTTGGCAGGAGCTGGGACGAGCGACGGGAGCTCCCTCCGTCGCGTGGATTCGATCTTACGACTGCTGGTCTTCCGACCTCGCAGCCCAGAGGCTTCTGCGGTTTAACCCGCAGCGCCACCACGTCCCTCTTTACTTGATTACTGGTATACTAATATTTCTTGTTTCCAAGGAAAATCTGATAGGAGGCTTCTTCTTTTATCGCACTTTTTACCCCCACCCCCACCCGTACCCTTCAAGTTGATGCTTTAGAGACTTCGTTGCCTAATACGTCTTTCCTGCATACTTAAATGGTTCTGTTAATTCTTATTTTTTCCGCCTACGCCTTTCTTGCAGCTGAACACCTTTTGGGTGGATGATGTGGTTCGGGTGATAGACGATATAGAGGCAGTCAAGCAGCTACAAGCTGGTCATGGGGAATGGACAGATGAAATGGCTCCTGTAAGTACATTTCTATTCCAAGAGCCATGCAGTGATTTTAAAACATCTGGTCTTGGGGTTTTCCATCTCATGGTCTTTTGTTTGAGGGTTCCCCCCTATTTTGAACAGCACTTTGTGGTGGCGGAGACAGGGCTTGAATGGAGCATCTTGGAAAGGAGGTAAAGCCGGCTGAAATTGTGGGGTGTTCATCCCGCACTACAACATTCTGTTGCCGTTCCTCCCCGTTTCCCTGTAGACTCCAGTAACAAAAAATATGTAACGCATCTGTTATTCTCTGCTTGCACGTGAAAGGAATTTTCCTCTCCCTTTCGTAGACCCTGGGGCACATCGGGAAGGTGATTAAAGTGTTCGGAGATGGAGATCTTCGGGTGTCTTTTGCTGGCCAGTCCTGGACGTTCAACCCTGCCTGCCTGACAGCCTACCAGCGAGAGGAAGATGCAAACTTCATGACCACGGAGGACGCGAAAGAGTCTAAAAGTGAGGAGCCTGAAAGCCGGCTGAGCTCTTGTCTGTAAAATGGGGTTTCTCCCTTTCCGTTACTCGATGCCAGGGGTCTTGGGGCTGGTGTGGCGACACGGAATGCTCAGAGACATTCCAACGTCGCGCGGAATAAAGCTGCTGGACTCCAGCTTTTTATGGAAATGGAAACGTTGCCTTCCTCGTGCTTTGCAGGGCTGGCAAAAAAAGGGGAATGAAATTTTACACAGCAGGAGATCTGAAAGCAGGAGAGAGTTTGAAAGGGAAAATATTGGGTGGGAGTTACAGCGCTGGCAGATGCACACAACTGCATTACGCACAGCTTTTTGGGGGGGGGAATAATTTGTTCTCTTTACTCATTATAATGTTTGCAAAGTAATTCCTCACCTTAATCCTTACAGTGTTTGCCAAGTAACGTCTTCGCATTAGGCACTGTGTTTCTCCTTACTGTACTGAACCTTAAGGTTCAAAGCAGAAGGGTGCAAAACTTGAAAAGTCATAGGAACTTCAGAATGCCCAAACACACAAAAGTGAACTTTTTAAAGTACTTAAAGCCTTTCCTCATTGAGTAGTGCTGTACCCACTCGCATGCCACCTTGGCGCTGAAACATTGCTTAATTATACCTGTTATGGCCCCGATCCTGTCAACGTCTATGTAAGTTCCTTTGATTCAAACGGGCCTACTCTAACTGCAGCTTGGTATGGTAAGGTAAGTTGCAGTTTAGAGGTAGGCACATTCGAATCAAGGATCTCGTGGGAGGAACTGACTCGCAAAATCCCTCCGGATTCAGTGGATCTGCTCGGATGCAATTTACTACCCGATGCAAAGGGATTTTTGCCGGTTGATTTAGGAAAGCACATGGTCTGTAACAGCTCAGCCGGAATCCTGTTGGTGTTCATGCAAGGTTTGCATAACTGGCCACGGGGAAAGTGTTGCGACGTGTCCTCGGCCACGCGCCTGGCAAGTTAAACAACTAAAATTCCAGCCATTCCTTCTGGGTTCTAATGGAAGGCATTCCACATCCTGGGAAGAAGAGCTAAGATTTCTGGGTACTAAAGAAACCCAGTGATCTGGGTAGCTCCATGGTTTAGCTCTCTGGCTAGGAGGGAGCCAGTGGTTGGGAGTTCGATTCCCCCCACTGGGCCTCCTGATGGAAGAGCCAGCCTAGGTGGCCTCGGGCCAGCTGCACAATTCCCAGGGGTGCCACAAGAAGAAGGGAATTTATATCATCATCATGATCATCTCAGACCTGCAAAACTGGAAGGGACACACCCCCCCTGGATCATTGAGTGCTTGAAGGCAGCTCCGGCTGTGATGGATGGGCTTTGTAGTGCTGCCATCGTGAAAGCTGTGTTTCTCGTTTTGGCCATCAACAGGCACGTTGCTTTCTGTGCTGGGGAGGCTGCTCTCCCAGAAGATGGAGTCAGACAACCCGGGGCGGCTGGTCATCGAGGCGGCCCATGGAAACACCTCCAAAGTCCGGGACCTGGTCCAGAAATATCCAGACAAGGTAGGTCCCCAGAGGTGGCGAGAGGCTTGTTTTTTTCTTAACCCTGATTTATTTTTATTCGTCCCCTCCCCTTCTGCCTCTTAAGTGCTCTTGAGGAAGCCTCCAGCTTTGGAGAACTGAAAGACTCACGATATCTGCAAAACTAAAAAAATTGTTATATGGTTAAGTGCCATGATCTTTGGCCATCCTATGAATGAGCGACCTCCAAAATTTCTTCTCTTAAACAGCCCCGCTCAGCTCTTGTAAACTCATAGGCTATGGCTTCCTTTACTCGCTCAATCCATCTCACATTTGGTCCTTCCTCTTTTCCTGATGTCTTCTACTTTGCTGGCATTATTGTCTTTCCCAACACATCCGTCAGTAATAGGGGGCAAAAATAGAATGGGGGTGGCATCCGTTGTCATCCTCCCCCCCAAAGAACTGAAACTGCCACAAGATCTAAAACAATGATGATCTTAATAATTCTAGGAAAAGTTGGGAGACAGCAGGAAAAGAGGAAGACCAGATATGAGATGGACTGAGTCCATAAAGGAAGCCATGGGCTGTAGTTTATAATAGCTGAAGACAGGATATGTTGGAGGTCATTCATTCATAAGGTCGCCGTGAGCCAGAGGTGACTTGTTGGCACCTAACAATGAGGATAACCTTAACCAGGAACTGATTAAGGCCTAATGGAATACGACTGATGGTCTAAATAATGGAGGAGTTTAATGATGGTACTCAAGGGCGTTATGACTAATGACACCGTTGGATGGGAGGCAGACCCATCGCTTGTCATTTTAGACGTTCACTCCGTGAGGGGACGCTGGCCTTTCTGTCCACAGGTTGATATCAAGAACCAAGGCAGGACGGCTTTGCAGGTGGCTTCTTACCTGGGCCAGGTGGAGGTGGTGAAGATCTTACTGCAGGCCCACGCCAACATCCACCTGCGGGATGAGGAAGGCGACACCGCCCTTCATTACGCAGCCTTCGGGTAGGTGACCCTTGGAACAGCTTTCATCTAGAACTAGAAGAGCGCCAGGGATCTGTAGATGTTTTAGAATCACCATCATCTTAGAATTGCAGGAGGTGGAAGGTCAGGGATGCCCCAGTGGGGGAATCGAACCCCCAACCTTTGGCTCCGCAGTCAGAGGCCTCAACCCCTGAGCTAGCCCACATTTCTGTTTCCCTGTTTCCATTCCTCTCGTTGACTAGGAACCAAGCCGAGATTGCCAGCGTCCTGGTCAGTCGAGGGGCCAACCCTGACCTCTTGAACAACGCCAAATGCACGGCCATGTACATCGCAGTCAACAAAGGCTTCACGGAAGTCATGCAGGCCTTGTGCGAACACAACTGCAATGTCAACCTGCCGGTGAGTCTCCCGACGGTCGCCTGAAGCATTGCGTCGTGAAGGCAGAAGGGTGGCGGGGCAGCGTGGCTCGGGATCCGGCGGTGTGCAAGGGTCCAGGAGTTTGTGAGAAATGGCTGGGAAGCGGCCATTGCCACCGCCGGCGCCTCCAACTCCTCTGCCGCCTGAGACTCTCCCTGCCCTCAGGCTGGGTCTCGCGCCAAAGCTAGGTGCGGTTCTAGAGTTTGTTTTCGGTAAAGCGATCGTTCGTGACCGCGACAAACACGCCGCCAATCTCAAACCCGTCTGTCTGATGCAGAGATGCGAACGGTCTTCACGTCTAGCCTCTCCCCCCCCCTTTTCAGGATTCGTACGGCGACACCCCGCTCCATTATGCCATCACCGCCGACTTCAAGTGCATCATCGAGGCCCTCACCGAAGTCCCCAATATCGATTTCACCATCCAGAACCGGCAAGGATTCAACCTCTTGCACCACGCCGCTCTAAAGGGGAACAAATTGTGAGCAGTCGAGACCTTTTTAAAACATCTAAAACCACGCGATCTTGTCTGTCGAACTTAAGATTTCCTAAACCGGATGCTGACGGTAGCCCCCATCTTGCCCTCTTGTTCATTAGTGGAACTTTTGTGATGTCAGAGAAAAAGTACCGGGAACGTTTTAATGTCACAGGAGAAAAATCTGTCAGCATCGGAATGTTCACAAACAGGTCAAACTTACAGTTGTGTTCAAAATTATTCAACCCCCACTGAAATTGAATGTTTTGGCCATTTTGACATTGATTTTGATCATTCAGTCATCTTGCTTACATTTACATGAAAGAGGCACTTGTAGGTCAGAGAAATATAACCTTAAGTTTATAATGAAATAACCACAAATGTCTTTTCTGTGCTCACATCATTATTAGTTTTTATTCAACCCCCAAGTGACATTCAATCTTAGTACTTAGTACAACATCCTTTTACAGTTATAACAGCTTTTAAACGTGAAGCATAGCTTGACACAAGTGTCTTGCAGCGATCTACGGGTATCTTCGCCCATTCTTCATGGGCAAAAGCCTCCAGTTCAGTCAAATTCTTAGGCTTGCACACTGCAACTGCTTTCTTTAAGTCCCACCAGAGGTTCTCAATCGGATTTAAGTCTGGTGACTGCGATGGCCACCCCAAAATGTTCCAGCCTTTCCTCTGCAACCATGCTCTAGTGGACTTGGAGGTATGCTTGGGATCATTGTCCTGTTGAAAGGTCCAACGTCTCCCAAGCCTCAGGTGTGTGACGGACTGCATCACATTTTCATCCAATATCTCCTGGTACTGAAGAGAATTCATGGTACCTTGTACACGCTGAAGCTTCCCTGTACCTGCAGAAGCAAAACAGCCCCAAAGCATTATTGACCCTCCGCCATGCTTCACAGTAGGCAAGGTGTTCTTTTCGTCATATGCCTTGTTCTTCCTCCTCCAAACATAGCGTTGATCCATGGGCCCAAACAGTTCTAATTTTGTTTCATCAGTCCACAGAACACTATCCCACAACTTTTGTGGTTTGCCCACATGACTTTTGGCATACTGCAGTCGACTCTTCTTATTCTTGGGAGACAGCAAGGGGGTGCGCCTGGGGGTTCTGGCATGGAGACCTTCATTACGCAGTGTGCGCCTTATTGTCTGAGCTGAAACTTCTATACCCACATCTGACAAATCTTTTTTCAGTTCCTCAGCAGTCACACGGGGACTTTTCACCACTCTACGCTTTAGGTAGCGCACAGCAGTCGAAGTCAGCATCTTCTTTCTTCCACGACCAGGTAGCATTTCAACAGTGCCCTTTGCCTTGAATTTGCGAATGATGCTTCCTATGGTGTCTCTTGGTATGTTTAACTTCTTTGCAATCTTCTTATAGCCATTGCCCTTCCTGTGAAGACAAATCACCTCTTCTCTTGTCTTCCTGGACCATTCTCTTGACTTCACCATGTTTGTAACCACACCAGTAAATGTCTAGAAGGAGCTGAGTATCACAGTCATTTTAAAGCTGCCTAATTGGTGCTTATTATGCTTGATTGGTGCTCGGTGACATCCACAGGTGTGCCCTTGCATGGCCTTTCTCTGTCATCCTTGATTGTCATTTGTGACGAGTGATGGGCAAGACTCTCGTTCTGTCTCTCCATGGCTCTGATCTTTTTTGCTCTCCTCAGAGCCGTCAAAAAGATCCTGTCGAGGGCCCGGCAGCTGGTCGACGCGAAGAAGGAAGACGGGTTCACGGCATTACATCTGGCCGCCCTGAACAACCACAAAGAAGTGGCAGAAATCTTAATCAGAGAGGTGAGGTTTTGTGTCGGTTTTTTGGTCTGCTTATCTTTGTTAGAGCTTGGAAAAAAAGACTCTTTTTCTGGACTACCTTCTGTCGGGAAGGGTCGGCGTGACTTGCACTTTCCCAAATCCTCCTCCCTACCTCTTGCTGAATCTATTTGTGTCCCGCTCTGCAGGGCCGTTGTGACGTCAACCTGAAGAACAACCGCAACCAGACGCCCCTACACCTGGCCGTCACCCAGGGCCACATGGAGATGGTGCAGCTGCTGGTGAGCGAGGGGGCTGACGTGAACACGGAGGATGAGGATGGTGACACGGCCATGCACATTGTCCTGGAGAGGGAGCACCTGATGTCCATCATGGCCGAGCAGCAGCAGCAGCAGGAGGACGGGGAGGAGAGCATCTTTGCTAAAGTGAGACATCTCTGCTTGCCCAGGGATGACCCAGGACCGAGAATCCATGGGTCACAAACCCTGTTCCTATCACCGTCCCTGACCTTTGCAGTGGCACCTTCAAAACAAGAGAGGGGATGTATTAGATTCCCTGGACGACATATCCCATAACTCTCCATTCTCCCTAACAGATGCCTAAATGTGGCTCGCCTGGGAGAAAGGCCTCAACCGGACAGCCTAGCTTCCTGTGTAGAAAGGAAGCTCCCGTGTAGCCCCGCCCCCCGGAGACAGACAGGAAGCTTGGGTGGAGCTAGGCCGAGTGAGGCCTCAAAGCCTTGCCACCAGGTGAACGACATTTGGTCTGTCTGTCCGTCAAGTACAACTTTCCGAATGGAGAATTATGGGAGTTGTAGTCCAAAAAAAAACACCCCTTCATGGATTGCTGCCTTGTCGTGGCGAAGGGGCTTGAGTAATTCAGAGAAGCTATGGGCTATGCTCTGGTCCATGGGGTCACGAAGAGTCAGACACGACTTAACGACTAAACAACAACGAAAGTCCAAAAACATCTGAAAATCCCATCCCTATTCTGGGAAGCTTTTAAAGGCCAGGATTTTCTGTGTCTGAGCCATTATTTTTCCAGCACTGGGAGCCACCCACATGGCCCACAGCCACACAATTCTAGACCCTGGGTTCTCTTTGTCCGTTGTTGAGCCTTTAAGACACAATAGAAACCTTGCTTGTGTACATTATTTTATTTTCAAAGTCCGGAAAGAGGAGATGAGGGTGGCGGTGGTTGCTGTTTGAGAAAGTTTGCCATTGGTGCAGTGACACCTTCACATCTGGAGATGAGCTGTTTTGATTTCTCGGACTACAAATCCCCAAATTCTCCATTCTCCACACCTGACAGGCAGACACACACACACACCCGAATGTGGCTCGCCTGGGAGAAAGGCCTCAAAGCCTAGCTCGGCCTAGCTTCCTGTGCAGAAAGGAAGCTGCTCCGCTAGCCCTGGGGTGGGGGTTCTCTTGAAAGGGACAGGCAGCCCCACCAGAGGGGTGGTGGTGGTGGTGGAGACTTGCCAGGCAGCCTGGGAGATACTGGCTTTGTAGTCCAAATATGGTGGTCAACACCTTTTCCAGAGTAAGACCACAGCCATGGGCTTTGGGGATGGGGAGACTGCCACACGAAGGGAGCCTCCCACCGTGGTCATTGGGTGGCACCGCCCATGCCTTTCAATGACCCGTCGTGTTTGGGGGACATCCCAAAACTTTGTGATTTCTTAAAGCAATTCCTTCCTCCACCACCACCACCCCTTTGTCCATCCAAAACTTCAGCTCCAGGCTTCTGGTTTCCTTGGCAACGTGGAGCTGAACGTGGGGTTCGCCATTGCGTGCTACCTGGCGCAGGAAGGAGCTGATATCAAGTATGCCAACCACCGGGGCAAGACCCCCCTCGACCTCATCTCAGACGGAAGCATCGCACAGCTCGTCAAGAACTTTTCCCAAAAATTCAGGTAGGCCTGACCCCATCCTTTTTTGGGGTGTGTGTCTTTCCTGGGTTTCTACTTTTGCAACAAACCAGAACCGGGAGGCATTTGCTAGCAAGTGTAAACCAAGGAGCTAAAATCACCACATTCATGTTTATCTAGATATCTTTCCTGGGTTTCTACTTTTACAACCAACCGGAACCGGGAGGCATTTGCTAGCAAGTATAAACCAAGGAGGAAAAATCACCACATTCATGTTTATCTAGATATATCTAATTAAGAAGAAGAATGATTAGCATTCTCCGTTTTTTCCTCCTCTGCTTTTTGGACACTTGATTTTTGGAAAGCAAAATCATGCCCTCATTGAGGAGGCCCCCAATCCTTGCCCGAGTTCATCATCTTCGAACTGCGGAGCTAGAAGGGAGCCTTGGGAATCCCTCCCCCCAAATCCAACATTTGTCAAGGCGGTACCGCAGGGAATCGAACTCAGAACTTCTGGCTCCATAGCCAGAGACCTCAACTCTTGAGTTAACCAGGTTGAAAAGTTGTTGTTTTTAAATTAAACCATTCCTGTTTTGCATTACAGCATTTGTAACCTTTTGCTGTTTAACCGCATTGGAAATAATAACTGATGATAATATTTGTTACTCTTCCTTTCTTTATCCCCATCACTTCTCTTTTTTTAAAAAAAACAGTCATTAAGGTTTTTGTCAACACTTTTTAACCTTTTGAGGCTGAATATGCCGGTTTGCCAAAGATCGGGCCAGAAGGAGCGGAATTCCCTCGGAAAATCAAATGTGTTAGATCTAAAGACCTCCAGAAGGAGCCAGGTCTTAACGCAGTGCCTGAAGTCTCAAAGAGTCCGGGGACGTAGGAGAGATTGCTTAGGGTTGGTGCCACCACTGAGGAGGTCCTGTCGCTTCTCCGTGGCCGCCCGGTTTCAGAGTCCTGTATCCTTCTTTTTCTTCCTTCCTTCCTCATTCTCTCTCTTCTCCCGGTTGCAACAGAGATAATCAGGATTCGGTGGAGAGCACCACCCTGCTGTGCAGCCTCGGACGGGTTCACACGACCCCGAACACCATGACGAATCTGAGCGTGGCCAAGCCAGCAGCTCCCTCGGAGTGCCTGGTGTGTTCGGAGCTCGCCCTGCTGGTCCATTTCTTTCCCTGCCAGCACAGCATCGTGTGTGAAGGTACAGCGGAGAGCTCTCCTCTCTTTTGACCCTAAAAGTCACCGTTTCCCCTTCCTGTTCGGATTTCTCGCCTGGGGCGCCGTTAATGGAAATGGTCAGGGAATCTTCGAATGGGGTTCATTTTTTTTCCACCACTCCGGTGCCCAAAATCCACCCCTTGGGATGTCTGGGAGTTGTGATCCAAATTTAACTTTCCCGGGAAGCAACTCGGAAGCTGCCTTTGTGCGTTTTGTGTGAAATGGGCTCACGGACAAAGCCCAGTGGTGTTTCCTGAAATGCCAGGAGCACCTCATAGGGTCTCCCAATTTATTCTATATTCAGCATGATTCCCAGTGGGGAAATCGAACTCCCAACCTTTGGCTGTGATTCCCAGTGTGAGGAATCGAACTCCCAACCTTTGGCTCCAGAGCCAGAGACCTAAACCCCTGAGCTAAATGCAGTAGTCTGAAGGAGAGGGTCGTAATAAGCCTACCGGTGTCCGTCTCAACCGTTTTAATCTCTTGTTCCCCCTTTGCCTGCAGAATGTTCGAGGAGAATGAAACGGTGCATCAAGTGTCAAGTGATGATCACCAAGAAGCTGAAACAAGGTACGCTAGGTTTTACCTTGCGCTCCGAGTAGGCGCCCCGATTGTCGCCTGGAACTGAGAGAGGTAGAAGGCCCCGCGTTCAGTTCCTGGGGAAGATGGAGTCCATCGCCAAGGAAGGGTTTTCAGCTTGGACTATCCTGCCAGGCAGGCCACAATCAGCCTGTCCTTTCGTTGGCCAACACAGCTAGAAAATTGAACGAGAGAATCCGGGAAGAGGCAGGGACGGTCAGGGAGAAGGGGAAGAGCCTCCCACATGGGCTCCCTTCTTAGTAAGAGAGAAGGACGTGCTGCGTTGTTCTGCTGGGCTCAATATGTCATAGAATTACGAGGAAGATGAGTCAGGATGAACGTCCCGGAAGGAACAAAGAGATGGGCTCTCCTTTATGTTCAGGTGTAGGTTCTAGCCGTAGGTTCTAGCACAATGGGTCCTCCAGATGTTCTTGGACTACAAGTCCCAGATGCCTTCAGCACCAGCCAGACCAGCCAGGATTTCTGGGAGTTGTCGTCTAAGAACATCTGGGGAATCAAGGTGGGGAGTCCCTGATCTAAGACGCTTCCAAGATCCTTGATTACCACCCCCCCCAGGCCAACCGCATCTCGGCTTTCCCTTCCCGCAGATAGCACGGAGGTGGAGTCCAGTCCCGGTTCCGAAACCACCGACCACCAGAAGCTGATGGAAGACCTCCAGAGCCGCTACCGCCAGATGGAGGAGCGCATCACCTGCCCCATCTGTATCGACAACCAAATCAAACTGATCTTCCAGTGTGGACACGGCTCGTGCCAGGAGTGCGGCGGCTCCCTGTCCGTCTGCCCCATTTGCCGACAGACGATCCGCGAAAGGATAGAGATCTTTGTTTGAGAACGGCGCTCCAGACCTCTCCCCCCCCCAACGCTAGTCAACGCCCTCCGGAGAAACTCGGCCCGGCGAGTCGTTTTCGCCGAGAATCTCGAACAGCTTTGTTCGAGGATCTCGAGCGGCGTTGTGCGCTTGCCCAGAGTCCAGCCTTTGATGGAGGAGGAACACATTTCGTGGCAGCCGATCCCAAGCGGCCGCTGCTTTCCTTTCCTTTCCTTCCCTTCTTTTTTTTCTTAAAGTAGACCAAAACACAGATGTAACAGGTTTCTAGGTTTTGGGGCAATACTTCTCATGGCCTTACCCAGCTTCGAAAGGGGAGGAAGACACCCATTTCTGAGAGCCCGTCGCGTTCCTCGGGGTGGGGGTCGGTGGGTGGGGAGGGAAAAACAATATCCTTGCACTTTAAAAAAAAAGTGGTGGGAGAGAAAGGTATAAAATCTGGCCTTGCTCTTTCTAGCAAAGGGAGTCAGCCCAAAGAGCAGAGGAAACATACAATCCAATTTTTGGGGTTGTTTGGGGCAGGTTCCCCCCCCCTTTTGTTCTTTTCCCTGATGCCACATTCGGCCACAGATATGATCAGAGAAGACAGACGGGGGCGTGTGTGTGAGAATGAAGAAGGGAGACCCGTGCCTTCTTCGAGACGAAATAGTGAATATTTACGGACTGTATCCAGACTGGCAACAGAAGCATCCCCTTAGGTGGCGATGGCTCTTCTCTCTTCTCCAGTAATTTCAATGTTTATTCTGCATAACGGCAAAGAGCCTTTGGGTTTCCTCTCTTTTCCCTCCCACCCCCCATCCACCCCAACCGAGGTGTCTTGTTTTAAAAAGAACCGAGAGACCACAATCGAAATGAGAACCGTCAGGGGAGGAGAGGAGGCCAGGAAACTCCCCTCGGTCGTCGGCTGGCAGCCTTGAATAAAGTTTCTTTACACACCACACGCAAACTGTGGCTCCGTTCCGACGTTAACCTTTTGAGGCGTGGTGGAATGAGTGTCAAAAAATGTGTTTTTTTCTTCTCCTGGATCCGATGTAATGCGCCGTCCCGTAAGACGGGGTGGGGAACGGCCCCTCTTGGGGGGAAATCTCTGCTGTCTTACTCCCCAATTTGGCCCTCTGATTTATCCCAACTTGGCCGTTCGCTGTTTTTGTGACTTTTGGTGGCTCTTTTCGGCCCATTCCAGAAGCCTCAAAGGCTGCTCCTAAATCTTGGCTACCAGCAGTAGGAGCTTGCAGCTAAAATGCATTGGTAATATTGAATTTGCAGGATTTGGCACAGCATCCAGCTTTGCATAGAATTGAAAGCTACCATTCTGAGGGCCAAATGTTTACAGTAGGGGTAGGCGAGTGGAATTGGGTTCACAGCTACCAACATCTTTCTGGGTGTGAGGACATGTGTATCCGGAGAGGTGGGGAAGGGTATTTATATTGCCTTGAATTGGTGCATTGGAACTAATTAACAAAGTGCTGGTTGCAGGCCATGTCGTACATCAAGTTACTTGACTGGCACATGAGCAGGCATTCAACCAGCAACTCTTCTGTAAGGTGCAACTTACGGTACTTCCAGGATACATGAACTGTTATTTACTCTGGAGTCAAATCCAATCGAATTCAGCATAGCACTATAGCGAGGTGCAAATTTACGCTGATATAGCGCTACACTGCTCCTCCTTCCCTTGCAAAGTTCTTATGGATGCTGTTGTGTAAGCGTCAAACCATGATCTCTCCTTGCCATTTCCCCTCCTCTTCTTTAATCATCTTCATAAACTTTCTCCCTCCCTGCTTCCTTCATCTCCTCTATCAAGCTAAATGGCAAAGATGTGCGGTCACACCTCACAGCTTTTGGGAAGACCTTGAACAACTACTGTAGGTTGCCTTTCTCAATCCAGCTGTGAAGGGCAAGCGAAGACAGGGTGAGCAGGCTGTGAAGAGGGGAGGCGTCTCTCTGATTTTTATAGAACAGAAAAGCCTGAGGGGTGATCAAGCGAGTCTGGCCGTCTCATTAGAAGAGCATCAGAACTCATTCTCCGGATGACAGCAGTTCTGAATCTGGAGGAAGTCTATGCCAAGGTGAGAGCGATGTAGCGCTGAAGTGCTGCATCACTGCATCGCTGCTAATTGGAGGCAGAGAAGGGCTGGTGGAGGGAAAACCCTGCCTGCTCTGTTCTTACAACTTTCCAAGCAGGCAATATTTTCGGGACGCTTGTCCCCTCTCTGGTTTTTCAGGCCTATAACTGTAGTCATTAGTTAAGGAAACAGACAAGAAAAAAAATAAGTGGTTTGTTTGAAATTTTGGTGCTGGAGGAGAGCTTTGCAGATGCAACGGACAGCCAGAAAGACAAACTAGATCAGATTGGAAAAGTTCCATTTTTAGAGGAGTTTTAGTCCGGAAAAATGCAACCTTTGAAGTTTGGGTGTTTAGATTTCAAGAAGGTTGTCTTGCTGGGAAAAGAGAAGAAAGTCCAACTCTATGGATGTGTGTTTGAACATCAGAGGCCCTTCAGTAAGAGGGCCTCCTCCTGACTTTCCTTTGAAGGAAAGGAGAGGGAAAAGTTGATCTCATCTTGTCCATCTCTGCCCTTGTGTTTGGCGCCCCCTCCAGGAAAGTTCAAACGGTGGAAGCTCAGATTGAGCTTTTTCAGTGTCGTTTCATCTTTTCCCAGAAGGAGGCGCTGCTTTTGTGAAAAACAGATTTTCGACTAGCAAGGAACCCCGTCTCCGGAAAACTACCTAATCTTGTCTGAGTTGGAAGTTAAGTTAGGATTGGACCTGGTTAGGAATCAAATGGAACGCCCTGAAGCTGTGGTACCCAACCTTGGATGGTCTTGGACTACAACTCCCAGACGCCTTCAGCACCAGCCAGGATTTCTGGGAGTTGTAGTCCAAGAACATCTGGGAACCTAAGGTTGAGGACCTGAAGGAATAACCAGGGATTTCCAGGTAGCGCTAAGAAAGAATCATGACCCAGACCGCGAAGAGCTGCTGGCTAGATAGGAGAAATGGTTGTAGAAGACACTTGTTTACATTCCTTGGAGATTTCACTCCAGTGGTTTGCTGACAGATGCTTTTAATCTGTATTTTATCTCCCTGCCCCCTGCCCGTTCTCTCTCAGCTCCCTTCCTTTTTTAATTCGGGGCCATCATTTCTGCCCTACTTAGCAATCTTTGTTTTTCTGGCATCTTTTAGGCTTCGCAGATGTTGGAAAGCGGAGACACTTGTTGGCCGGCAAGACGTTTGAAAAATGCTCCGGGTCGTCATATCCAGCCAGATAAAAAAAGTTTTCGTGTTTTTTTAAAAACATGGATACAGTTCATTTACATTCAGTGGATAACAGGGGGCGGTGGAGCTCCAGATTTGGGAAGGGGAGGAATACAAGTCCCAGCAGCAAAGGCCAGTGGAGCTCATGTAGGTGGATTATGGGATTTGTAGTCTAAAAGATAGGAAAGTTAGCAAACGGCTTTTGGAGCCGCAGTCGGTCACCCCTGGTTTATAGGGACGTTTCTTACTAAAACGTTGGCCGAGGGAGCTTCCTTAGTTCACCTCAGCATGCAAAACCAAACCAAAACAATGAAATTGAAGGTCTTCTAGTGCTTGTAAGTCTGAGATATTTATTTCAGGATGAGTTTTAGCAGTCCTATTAACTCTCACTCAAATCGTACTAGACTGTCGATTTTTGCTCTCCCCCAGGTCGTTAAGGATTCAACTTACAAATCCGTGGTTTCCAACCCTGGGTCTCTAGATGTTCTTGGACTGCAACTCCCAGAAATCCTGGCTGGTACAGTGAGCGGCAAAGGCTTCTGGGAATTTTAGTCCAGAAACATTTGGGGACCCAAGGTTGGGGAACCACTGCTCTAAATCATTGCTTCTTTTTAAAAAAAGGCCTTTTCTCGCCCAAAATAAACCAAACCCAATCACTGAGATGCCTCTCAGAGATATGATCTACAATTTGGAATTCCCCCCCAGGGGTTCTAAATTGCTGCATGGATATAATAGGCTTGTCTCTGTTCTAACCACTGTACTCATTTTTTCTTTTCTTTTTTTCTCCTCTGCTGCAGTTCTCGATCGAGGCTTGGCTAGGCAGTCACTAAAGGCAGTTAGGAACACTTCTTGCCTCCAGAATTTAAAACTGAGCTGGTTTCAAGGATCCTTGAGGATGGGCCAAGTCAAACAGCTAGATGTGAGAACGAAAAGGGAAGGCAGGAGAGAGAGAGAACCACCTTTCTCATTAGAAAGAGGGAAGGCAAGAACTAATAATGGCTTGTTTTACAGCTTATATAATGCCATTTATCATGGCTCAGTGTCAAAGCATGAAAACCTGGCAGGTCTTTTTTAAAAACACACACACACACAAGAAGGATGGAGAAAGTTAACACACAAGTCAGTTAAGGACAAAACCATCTGTCCACTCTAGAGAGAAGATACTGTAACTTCTATGGAATCCAAGGCTTTTTTGCATGCTGCACTAAAAATATCCACTTTAATTTAAACAAACAAGATTCTAGTCCTTATTATGGTTGGAAAGATAAGGCTCATGAACAGAAACAGTGCATCCTGCCTTATCTGAGGACCTCACAATTCTGTTTATGCAGACACATGCATTCTTTCCCCCAATCCCAGGAAGAGAAAGAAAGAAAGAAAGAAAGAAAGAAAGAAAGAAAGAAAGAAAGATCATATTCTTGAGTTTGTGTACAATTCAAACCCAGTGCCAGGTGTACACTTAAAAGGATTGAAACATGTCCAGAGTTTGGACACAGTCCTTTTTTGTGTGGGGGGGTATAACTTCCAGAATCTTCTGTGGCTAGCTGGGGGCTTTGGGGCTTTATAGTCCTAACAAACGGAAAGGAATAATTCTCAAGTTCTGGATGGTGGTATTCTGATTTGATATTGTTCCAGGGAGAAAAATGTTCTTGTGCAGTTAACAGCACACAATTGTTACACATGCCAACTCACATGTCACACAATAAGTTACACAGCGTTTACTCCCCTGTACCAGTGGCTTAGATTGTTGCAGAGTTCTGAATTTCTGATACAATTTCCTGCTCTATGCAGTACGTAGAAGTACAGAGATTCACAGAATAACTATGGTCCACCCTTTTCTCATGAACTGGCACTTAAGATCCCAATAACTCACTCTTGAGACATTGGTAGGAGAAATAATGTTTTATTACTTACAGTTGCAAACAGATCAACAGCAAACAAACCACAGATGCGACAGACAAAACAGAAGGGAAGCGCTCACAGCAGAGAGGTGGGACTCTCTGAATTCTGAGGCAGGAAAGGAATGATTGGCTAGTGTTGGATAGACTGACAAGCACCCCAAACCAGAAAAATCCCTCCCAGTCAAAAAAAAAAACCTACAGACAGCATGCAAGGTTGCAAACAAGACTTCAACCTCGATGTGAGAAGCAGTGTAGTGTAATGGGTAGATTATTGGGCGAGGAGTTTGGGAGGACGCCTTCTTGGCCATGGAAATGGTCAGCAGGCCTTCCTACTCTTTCTGATCAGTGTCACGGAGAAGGTGAAAATATACCTCTTGGGAAGCTCAGAGGGCCAAAATTGCCCCCCCAGGAATGGGGGCTGAGCCATGTGACCCGATGTTGCATACCCCGGTTCTCAGCAAGTTTATTTTCCTCAGGTTTCCCCATGGAAAATGCTATACTATCCCAAAAAGTGAGGTAAAATACATCCTTCTACTCATCTGGCCTCTTGGGACATAGAAGAGACAAGCCACCATCTTTGTCCCTCACCTCAGGCGGCAAAATTTCTTGAGCAGCCCCACTATTGTCAAATAGCATCCACCCCTCTTTCTCTCCTCTGCCATTTTATTGCTAAAAAGACACCCCCTTCTGCAGAAAAAGGGACCCCTCCTTCCTCTTCAGATTTATTTTTTCTACTCCTCCAACCACCGAGTCGGCTGCTATAACGACAGAGGTTTTCTTTG